TTGTAGGCTAATAGCGCAGCATAATGGGATAATAAAAAATGGATGAAAAAATAATTAAGCAACACATGTCGGGCACGGCTACGCATATTTCTTCCGTTTTCTAATTTAAATCGATTTATTGCCGACGATTAGTTTTCCACGCGCGCGGGGCGTACGCAACCCTTTCCGGCGGATTTTAATTTTCGGTAAACGGAAGCCCGTGAGGCGATACAATGAGCTCACGCGGACTTCACACTGCGCTTCACAAGGCGCACATGTGAGCCATGTGGGTAATATTCAATTTTTTTCGGTCGTAAAAACCCTTTTTGGGAATGAATCCAGTGAGTTTCAACGATTCGAAGCGCATCAGGTGGCAATTCCATATTATAATTTTATCATTCTAAATGTCAGTTAAAGGTTTTACACTCGGAACGCGAATAATTTACGATTGCAAAATTAAAAGCTGTTTTTGCACGTATGCCTAAAATGGCAATCATAATGTTTCTATCTACAATAGAGCTAATAAAGACATAACTGTCATATCATCCACATCTTAAAGGTTATTATACTATAACTAAACAACAATGTGTGGACTTTTAAAACAGTTTAATGTAGAGTAAAAGAAAAAAACAGAGAAATTCTAATTCTAACGGTAAATATCGCAAATTAAGCTTAGATGTAACTTAGACTAAAGTTGCTGATCCTAAACATACAAATTTTACTATAGTTGCCCTTTAAATTATAGAAATTCAATGTTTTGTAGGCAACTGTTGTGATTAAAGTCTACAACAAGCTTTAACATTTAGCAACTTTTGGGCGTTTGTGTCTTTGAAACGCCTTGACATATGAAAATACTTGTATGCAAATGACTGGATCACAATCGGCACGAAATGCTTTTGTTGTCCTGTTACACCTCTCAATGTCCCAACGATTATTATGCATTTATTTATTTATGTAGCATTAATAGAGTTGTTAAGTCGTCCGGCGAACATTAAAGTTTAGCTTCGATATTTGTCGAATGCAAATTCCAAACGTGTGCATGAATCCAATTCGTCGCTTGTGGCGCACCAACAAATAACCTAACCTCGAAATAAACAAATTAAAAATCAAGCAAGCGCGCCAGAGAGAGCTTGAAATCGTGACGACCTGTTGATTGCCGCCAATTGTTTGCGATTATTGCCGCCGCCAGGAATGCAATTATGCCGATTGAGCTGTTGTTGCGCTTTGACACATTTCAAATGCTAATTAAGAAATCGCGGTGCGCTCGCGGTGAATATCGACGGCGTGTAGGTACGCTTTATGAATGTGTTGAACATTCGCCTGCAATTGAATTGTAAAACGTGCGCATGCGGTGCACCTGTTGACTTTTTATTTGACACGTTTCACGCGCGAGATGGCGGCGACGGGCCGAAGAAGCGGCGTCATTTACGAGGGCACGCCACTTGGATTTTATTGTGGCTCTTAGTATTTATATTGTTATTATATTGCCGGCTGACCGGCGTCGTATTGAAATTTATGTTCCAGTGTGTGTGGAAGTTTATGTATGACTGCGGCCTTTTGAAAATTGAGTTTTCAAAACAATAAACCCACATGATATTTTCCTAAAAATTTAATTACTAATTTTCTGCGGCGTACAAAAGTCAAAATACTAAAAATTTAAATTTTCTAATTAGTTAGTACACCATTAAAACAAATTAACGCTATTAATACGCTGGCACAATGAGAATTTTTTTTCTTTTTTTTTCTCTGCCTTTATGTGATAACATGTAACGGAAAGTGAGAACAAATACCGAATTCGTAAACAAAGGCCCGGAATGTTATCTGCTGTTTGGTATTGTTTTATATTTATTTTCGTGTGTTTCCATTTGTTTGCCCGATCGTCTGCATTACGACGTATTACGCTCGCATTCTTGGATAGTAGCATTCTCGAATTCTTCGCTCGCCGACATCAAAAACGTTCGGTTATCATTAGCCGACGAAATTCTTTCTCCTTCCGTTGCGAGGGCTCAAATTCCACGAATCGCTGCCGTTCGAACATCATTTCGACTTGTTATCAAACAAATTGGTCGAGTTAAGGTTCGAATCTTTATACTTCTACCAATAACCGTTAAAGAACCACCAAAGTCCATCGAAATCGATACGGCAATAGAAAATAAAAAATAGAAAAAGTCGAGACATGTGGAAGAGAGGTGTCTTACACCTGTCTACGCTGACCGCCACACACATATCTATAAACACCCTTCCGCAAGCTGTTTATTTATTATTATTAGAAGTAGTTTTTTCCAAACTTGTTCAGCGCCTATCTACGCCTAGGAAATTAAAAATTCGAAGCAAGTCGTGAAAAGGGTGCATTCACTCTTGATAGTTTTCGGTCAGTCAGTTGCTAATTAGACGAGAAATGATTTTTAATAAGTCGAAAATGCCACGGGCACAACAACACCAACACATTGTGGCGTTTTATAGACGCGCAAGCATGGAAGCTAGAAATTATTAGTTTTATGCGGGCCCTGCCTCCACGACTCCGCAGCAGTAACGACCAATTAAATTAAATTTTTAATTGTTTGCCGCGGTTCGAACACTCCGCCATCCACCTCAGCTCCGGCAGTGTGTAATTGACATGTCGATTCTTCATTTTACGCATTGCGCTGTGTTCTCGACGTCGTAAAACGATTTATAGTCGGTTTCATTGTGCTAAAATAATATAGAATCATATTTATCGTATTTATGAGGCTGAGAATGTACATCAAAGTGTTATTGACCGATATTTAATCGGATTAAGTGCTTTGAAACTTAATTTTTAGATTAAATTTTATTTGCCGTGCGGAATCGCTCGGCTGGTGTATCAATTAAACGTGTTATTCGGGATACTTTAAGTGCGACCACGTCGGGAAGGTAATTGAAGTTCATTGTTGTTGTTATTAATTATTCATTAGTTTGTTTAATTAAGTTTACACATAATTAATTTCCGTTATACAATTAGAGCTAAATTTCGGTGCGTTTCGTTGAAATTGCTGTTTATATTATATTTTGTTTATTAGTTTTTTTCTTGTTTAAAAAATTTAGGTAATTTTACAGCTCTAGAGCGGTAAATGCTGCACTGGATAAAATTGCATTAAAAATAAATGAGTGCGTCGTCTGGCAGTTGTAGCATTTTGATATAACTTATGGTAAACTTATAGTAATATAATAGAAAAAGGGGCGACCGGCGTCGATTGTGGCGACTGAGCGCCTCGGACTTTTGATAAGGTCACACCCACCGATGTTTAACGAATTTTTTCCACGTTCACGTCATCCGCCATGCCACGCCGGCGACCATTGCCACACGAAGCCACTTCGTGCGCCCGGCGACGTAATTATTCGTTTATAATATAATGAATAAATTAACGTCGAGTAATTAATTTTTCGATGCAACGTCTGCGGCTATATTTATCCTACGAGCGCAACGACTATGTAAACGAGCATGAAATTAACGTCGTTCTATCGGCCCGACGTTATCGCCGCATTAAATTCACGCCACCATTTTTCGCACGTCGAATTAAAAAATTCAACGTTCAAATCGTCCAAAATCGCTGGGAAAATATCAAATGTTGAAAATATATTCAAATTTCATCGCGCTGCAGGCGTAAAAATGGCTAGAGGTGCAATATTTTCATATTTGTAACAAAAAATCACTTTGTATTACAATTAATTTGCCGCGCCGGCTGACAGATATGAAGAGGATGAAACAAATGAGAAATATAGAGTGACATGGCGAGTGACAAACGGAGTGTGCAGGTAAGCGTGCGTAATTAATCAAATGTGGCGCTTTGAGGGCTTTCGAGTCGATGGCAAACAACAAGCAACAAACACAATTGTACCAAAAAAAAACCTGCTGCCATTCAATGGACGCCGCCCGTTGCGGATCGAAATTGATGTGACACTCACAGAAACTCGAACAATAACGCGCTTGATTAATTGATTTCGTGTATTTATTTACAAATTAATTTATCCGCCGCAGAAAAAGCTTAAAACAAAAAATTTAAAAGAAATACGATTGGGGGATTGTAAATTGTAATGTCATATGTCATTTTGTCACGTGTGACGTGTAGGGGGTGGCCTAATCCTTGAGATTTGCAACTTTGGTGTCCAATTGCGTCCAGGCATCTGACATTAAGAGCATTAGGTATGATTAGGTTTCCTTCCGTTTCTAATTTGCTCCTGGAGTCTAAATTCGGCTTAACGTCAACCATTGGGAGCTAAGAATAAACGAAACAAATCCGTATGTAAATGTAATCGCAATCGCTGTAGGTGGTGCAATGTAAATTCGCAACAAATCTGCATCAACTGATCAAGCCTAATTGATGTTGATTGAATTGCACATCCAACACAAATGTTCAACAGCGAAACAGTAGAATTAAATTAAGTTTCGTTGTGTTTCACGTTTAATTTTAACATGAAGTTCATTTTTCTGTTGCAGATGGCAGCAGCAATCAATATCTAAGGGTGTAGAGCTTTCGAGTGTGGCACATTCCCCCCAAAAAGCTGCTCTGGTTGCGTTCCATGCTAAAGCAAGAGCTTTTAACTTCGACTCGACGCCGCTAGGTGGCGACTGCTGCTTGGACTGGTTGCGTTCCGCGCTGTCGAAAGCTCTCGCTGTCCCCACTCTAAACTACCGCTCGCGTGATTCCCCTACATCGGCAGTTTAGTATGCGTGCGGAGTGTACCGGAGTGTGCAAAACGAGGCGTGGTTTTTCGCCGCGTTTTTCATCAGTCGCTCGTGCGCCGTGCGAGGCGGAGTTTTCGTGGGGGACACAAATTTCCCATCGACACACTCATACACGCACTAGTAGAGAGCTAGGCGCTAGCTAGTGTTGTTAGAAGAGTGAGTGCATTTGGTGTTCGTGCGTGTGCATGTGCAGTGCGGTCGAGGGCGGCGGTGTCGTGGGGGGCGCATGACGGAAGCTCGCGAGTCGCGCAACTGTGGAGGGAAACGTGCACTTGACGTCCACGATCGCTCCGCGCTACACCAGCACCAGTGATACTGCCAGAGCGCTCGAGAGTTGTTTAGTATTTAGTAGAGTTAGTAGAGTTTAGACTGCGAGTATTACGCGAAAATGTGAAGTTCGGAAGTTTTGTGAATATTTTTTCCTGTGAGGACATCAATCATTTTTTTGTTGGTAAGTCGATTATAGAATTAAGTTTTGCTGAATAAAATTTAATAAAAACTAGTTTAATGCTTGTTAAATTATGTGGAGTTGTAGTAAAATTTTAGTTGTGCCAAGTAAAAGTAATAAGAATGACGTTTTCTTTCTTTTTTTCTGTTTCCAGATAGTCGGAGGTTTCGAAGGAGAAATTGCTCTCCCCACCGAATTGTCTACACTCACACATGCGTCGCACGCCGAGTTGCCACACATGCGCACACACACGTCGAGTCCCCCCACCACGACACCGGTGTGCCCTCCACCACCACCACCACCGCCGCGCTGCCCTCACGGCGTCTTGTCGGCGGGCGCGCAAGTGCCCAAGCGCACCGCGCTCTCTTCAAGACACCGCGCGTCGGAGTCGGAGTTCCTCCGCTCGCGGTTTAGTGCTTGGCGCGCTCTCGAAGACACCGCTAGCAATCGCCCGAGCAACACCGGCGTGTGTCTTCCATCGGCGCACGGGGACTTGGAAGAAATATAACGCACCTGACTTCATCGGCACGCCAGTCGGCGCGCGGCACTTTGATGACATCAAAGCGACGACGACTGCGTTCGGACTTCAACTTCCAGCCTCTCTCTTCGCGAGCTCTACGACTTCAAAGCGCAACGTGCGGCGAATAAAATTTTTTTGCATCGCGACGCAACGCACAACAACTACGCGGAGCAAAAAGTGAAAAGATAAATTACAGTGAAGTGAGATTTAACTTCATGACTTGGTGATTAAAGCAAAGTTTTAAAATTAAACCAAGCAAACTTAAACGTTCACAACGCATGCAGCAAGAAAAAGTTCACCATCGGCGGCAGTTCTTCGTTGTTGTTTTTTTCACGAGGGCGTTCAGCGTAAGTGATTTTTAATTCTACATTTTTATTGCGATTATTGCGCCATGAAAACCAACACGGTATTAAAAGGTTTTATTGCGGCTATTTTTGACTTTTGAGCTTTCGACAACTTTATGATGCAGTGTAACACTACACTTTTACAATGCGACTGTACTTACCTATTATTGGGGGTATAAAGAACGAAATCAAATAAAGGAAGCAAAAAAAAAGCGCCACACGAATTCACCGGCACAATAGCGGTGCTATTATCCGGGCCGTCGGCAACTTAAAACCGCAACACTCACAAAGTGAGCCAAATAAAAATCAAAAGCTTCCAAGTGTGGTGCTACTATCAAAAAAGGAAGTTGTGAAAACAAAAAAAATTCTACAAGTGCACAAATTGCGAAAACCACAAATTCCGAAAATTCTACTCACTTGAGCTAATAATAGCCCTATTATTATCGACAATCAACACGATTAATAATAATTGTTCTCGTCGTCAACCGCCGCGCCTGGAGATGTCTCCTCTTGAAATAGTTTTTTTTTGTTCGTTTTGCGCCGTCTGGTCTGGCAACACCACGACGCTCTGTACACAAATGTGAACTTGAATTATGTACACATACACATACGATACGCTGACAATTGCGATCGTCGACATGTCGTCTGGCTGATAAACGCCGACGACGACTTTCGCGCGTGCGTTCGTCATGTGATAATCAATTTCTGTTTGTTTCACAGTCATTAAACCGAAGTTATTAATTTCTGGATAAGCGCAAGTTGTTTTATGAAGTCTAAAGTTGTTCTGTGAGTTGTAAGTGAGTAAATTTCAAGGCCAGCAAAGGCCAGAAGCCGGTCTCGCGATAATTATTTATTTGACTTGCGCGTTCAATTTCCAGCAATTCAATATTTGCTCACACAAGCCAAGCCAAGCAAAACTCGTCGCTTGTTATTTCCATTTCAATTTCAATTTCTCATTGCGTTTCTATTGTTAACGAAAAACGACTGCTGTTTTTTTTTTCCTCTGCTTGCTGTGTAGTAGGTATTGTGCGTGCATTATGAAAAATAATGCGCACGCATGCATCCGCATATCCGTCGCGCACGCTTCCGAAAAACGTTAATGATATGCAAAAGCGCTACCGTGGGCAACTCGGCACGCATAACAATGCCGTGTGCATGACACAAAAAAAGGGGTGAAACGTCGAGGCAGACAGAATGTAGTGTGTAGTGTACACAACGCATTCACACACAACGTCTGAAAAACTGAATCATCGAAAGGGTTGAAACACAAAATTCCATTTCACATCGGCAATGCATTAGCTCCGGAGAGAAAGGGTCACGCTTTTAAAAGGTCGCGCTATCAATACCCAAGGTAAAAGGTAGAATCATTACCTGGATTACGCCGATTACGGGAATATGCTGGCTGTACCTGAATGAGCCCGTGATTTATGCTTTAAATATTCAAATTCACATTCGGCAACACATTTGAATATGAACAGTGCCCGGCTATAATTTTTCATCGGCATTTTGCTGTTGCATATTTTATCAGCGGCTTCAAAAAAACTATTATACGCGTCGCGCATGAAAGACGCCAATGAAAAGAGGACTCTCCACTAAAAGAGTTTCAAAGTTATCCTAACGATGGCGACGCAGAAATTGTGTAAAATGTAAAATGTAATTTAAACCGGTCTTAAGTTTGAAGTTAAAAGTTTAAACTTTGCGCTCCAAGTGCTAGACACCTCTCTTATCTTTCCATTTCCATTTTACGGGGTTTTTATTACCATCACCGGAGATAATGTTACGTTTATAAACGTGTCTGCGCGCAGATAGAAGAAAAAATCGCCAGATAATGTGACAATGTGACAGGTGAACTTTGCCGGTCTGCAATTAATTCAATTTTAATTAGTTTTCATTAAATTTAATTGTCGCATTATTTTCAGCGTATGTGTGTGCGTAATTACGAAAATTACTAAATGACTCGCTAGCGTCGCGAACAAATAAGCTAGTTAGAATAATAAAATAAAACTCTCCGAGTGTGTGATGTGCCAACAGTCAAGTCAAGTCATGAAAATATTTGTCCTGCGAAGAGACGACGTGAATGTGTTTTTTTTTTCACCTCTTTGAATGCGAGATGCGCGCCGGCATTGAAAACGTTGAAAAAAGAATTCGTTAAATATTTACCATAAAATTCAAATATATTACGCGGCATTTAAAAGGCTCAAAGGCGGTGAGAGGATGAAAAAAAAAGCCGAGGATCGTTGCGCAATGTGTGCACCGACGATAAGGTCTAAGCAGGTATACCTGGAACAAACGGGTTTATCTAAATTCCAACCTCGTAATCGTAGGCAACCAAACATACAATAACATTTTTTGTATTTTAGAAAAGAGTTAAAATCAATTTTCTTAATTCGGGGGCAAGAAAATCACGCAGTGACGAGTCGTGATCGGCCTATCACCGGTCGTGCTTCTCGTGATCGAAGACAACGTTACGGGATGTTGATAGGTTTCTAGGTTATGTTCGATGCGCTCTCGCACGAAGGAAGCGTGAGTCAGTTAGTCACTCCGCACCTCTGGCAGCGTCGGTCATTATTATTGCAATTACTTTTTAAACTCGTTGGCTGCTCCGGCGAGGAGTATTAACTGGAAGCGATGGAAAATGCTCATTTTTCAAGCGCGCCGTCGAAGCGGGTGACCTAATGAACGTTCATTATCGCATGGAAAATTAATGCAGCGCATAATTTATCGTTTTTTTTTTCTTTCTAGTCCAGAGTATGGCATACACACACATACACATGGTAATTACATTATGCACAATAACGTGCTAATTAACAATAACAATATAATATGATGAGTGAGTGAAATATTGACGTTTTTTTTAAATTTTTATTTTTCGGCTGTGGTGTAGATGTTATTCGGTAAAAATGTTCGGGTCACAAGTCGAAATAATTACACGTACATAATGTGTAAATTAACATATCCTGTTTTAAGTCAGGCTAGTCATGGCTATTTTTATCGCCGGGTTTTCGAGGCGCGCCGATTCTGCACGATTTGTCACATAGAACATTCTTTAGTTAAATAATACTCATGATAGGGTTGTAAATGCGTTGTTTTTCTTCTTCTTTTTTTTTTTGGATTTTCTCCTGTTTAGCGTTCCGTTCGATAGTCGCACGCGGGCACTCGGCCGTAATGCGCGTCCGACGAATAAAACTTATTAAGCACAGCCCGACCAACCAGCACTAACACAAACCCAATGAATTATTAATTAATTTTCGTGTGTGCCGGGGCTGGCTGGCTCGTTGGGTGTTTGCCGAGCGCGCACAGCACCACGTATCGTAAAGAATATTATTATGGGCAGTGCCGCGACGTTCCATACGTTAATTAAAAATAAAATACAAACGAGCATGTGCGTCACGTCACCATTACATCAGCGGCGAGAGCGAGAAAACGTAAAAAATATTTCATAGAATACCACACACACACTCACGCAGCAGCAGCAGTTTAGTTAATTATTGATTATTCGATGCTAAATGTGTAAACAAAATCAAAATGTCGGGTGGATTGAGAGAGGGGGTGTGTTCTGTGTTCGTCATGGCGATAATTCGCGAACCCCAACGCACCCTGCTTCTGTTCATGCATGCGTAACATACAACGAAACGCAGAAATAGATTATCGAAATGAGTTGCGAGGCGTATGAAGAGCATGACTCCCACTTTTCAGAGGGTTGCACACTCGTAGGGTGAGGGATGACTACAGAACTATATGATAATACTACTAAAACATTAATTTTCTACTTAATTATTTAAATTTTTTATCAAAAAATTTAAAAAAACGTAAAAACGCATTGGAATTGTCGTTTTTTTTTAATAGTTTTGTCTTTTTTGTTAGTTAAATTAGTGAATTGTGAGCGTAAAAATTTGAAAAGGGTGTATCTCCTCCCTCGGAGGGTGGATTGATGTTTGGATCGTTTTTCTGCACACATGCATGCACGTAAGCGCCGAGCTAATTGGCCGACAGGCCGACATCGCATCGCCCTCGCTTCAAAACCATCAAAATCTTCCAAAATAAAATCTGGAATCCCCCTCAGTACAAGCACAGATACCACACACGCACTCGAAAGTCTATCCTGCGTAGAGGAAGATGTAAATTACAATGTTGAATTACAATGTGCATGCTCGAAATGAGAATACAAGTAGTACTGAACGAAATGAAGGGATTTCGTACTGATCCCGTGCCGACGTTCCCGTCGAATCGGGAAGCTTTAGTAATCTTCAATTTTCTCGCATCGCCGCCGTAAAAAATGACAATGACGTCACACCAGGCGGCGACACTGGTCGTAAATTTGCGCCATTTGTCAAATCGACACGTTGAAACAAATGCCCGAATTAATCGCTTCCTGCGTCGACAATAAAACAGCTCTTCGGCGGAGCCACACAACAAAGAAACAACTAATTGGTGACTGGATGTTTTATATCAACGGAAAATATTTTCTACTTCTACCAGGCTTCTAAAGTTGTTTTATTTTATTTTATTCGATAGTATTTTTTCTTCTTTCTAGTTTTATGGTTAATAAAATTAACCGCTAGATGTTTAACGACAGGGCGCGGACATACTAACGACATGTTGCAGACAATCGAAAGAAAACGACGATTTTTACACGACGAAATTTTAATCACAGTTGGTAATTATTTTAAATGGGACGCACACTACTTTTGCGAGCCGGATTGAGAAAGTCAGGAAGTGGACAATTAACTTATTAACTACCGATTTTTATGCGATTCGCAACGTTTTGCTTTCAAAGTCGTTAATTGTTCGGCGTAATTCTCAATTAAGCCACCGGGAGGTAAAACATCTGCAAAGCGGTGCGTGATTTTTTATTGAAAAAAAATTTATTTTCTCATTGAATGAGATTACGAACGTAGAAAAAAGTTATGAACATCAAACTCGACTTTCTTTTATAGTTCTTTATGGTATTTTTTCTCAGCGGGCAACTTTTTTCGAGCAGGTAGTTCTGAAGGGTCCTCAACTCACTGGGAGCATTTAAAAAATGGTTATAGACCGCAATAAACTTGCCCAGACATTCGAAATAGTCAGATAAATGTAATATAAGCGCGGAGATTGTTTCGGACGGTTTTTTTTCGTTGCCTCAAGGAGAAGGTATCTAAAAAACGCACGAAATTATAGACCGACCAATTTTTGTTCACCTACGTGATGATATTACCATCATACGAATAGAAACAACTTTCTGATTCGTACGAAAAATCTAAAATTGCATTTTGGTACCCTTGACTATAGACTTGAAGAGAGAAGGGTTTTGAAGAAATGTAAAAATGCACACGCACGCGGCGCGGCCGGTTCGTGAATCGTGAAGGAAGGAAGAATACTGAAGAAGGAATACCGGTCCGGCTAGTATTTTACCATTTTCGATGATGTTCTTCGCTGGGAGACACGCCGAGAGACCACATCGTACGCTCGCTCGCCGATTAAACTTCCAGCAACCGAGCCAACCGACTGAAGACTGAAGACGAGTTTCACATTTTTGTGGTTGACCACTAGCGAGGTATAGAGTTCCTACGTGATTTTCACATTTGTAGGAACTTCATACCGTGCTCTTGGATCTTCCAAATTTCATCACATCATCAAAAAAATAGAAAAAAATCAATTTATTCTTTTACAGAAAAAAATAATTTCTATTAATATTCTTGTATAATATGTGAATGTGAATGCAAGTTGCGTAGTAATAACCTATAATATTGTTATCGTATACGAGTAGTAGCATGTTGGCATGTTAGCAATTTTAAAAGGGTTTTCATTTGTTTTGTGCGCTCGCATCTTGAGTTGCGCATGAAATTGCTATTATTACGCGCCTGATATGATATACGAGGAGGAGGCTCTTGTATCCTATGACGTAATTACTGGGATGACCAGTGGGGAATTCGAAATTGCAATCGTGGGGAAATTCAGCACGTTAGAAATTAACTATGACAACAACAATAATAAAAAAAAACGCAAAACGCGGTATTTCCATCCACAACAACTTTTACAATATGTTTACAATGATACTTATTATCTTTATTGTTTATTAACAAAGGAAACGAGGTAAAAACTTGCGTAAAGCCTGTTTAAACTCGCTCAGTAATAATTTAAAGTTTTCAGTAGTCGGTAAGTACATATCTACTTGCATATTAATTCGTTTTGCTTTATATTTATTTTATTTGCTTAATGTGCACTTGGACGAGTTACCCATTCATTTAGTGCGGCATTCTCGAAACAAACGTCAATAAATAAAATGCAAACTATTACAACCTGGGAAATCCATGGAAATTATCAACCACTTACGTAAAGTTAAATATTTTAATTAAAAGTAAAGCTAAAAATATAAATGTTTTTATTAATAACTTGACAGATTATTTTCGTATTAATTATAATTGCAATACAATTAAAATGTTTCTAATTATTCTATCAAATGACTTAAAATGCCAACGGATGAGTTGTTCGGCTCTTCTAATGATTTAAAAAATAATAAAATAAATAAAATAATAATAAAATACAAAATAAACACGCCATTAACGTAAAATATAATGGGTCTTAATTATGAAAGCCTAAATTACGAATGCGTTCGTTAATTATAATTAAAATGACGTTTGTATTTCGTTTGTAGACGGAATTGCGTATCATAATAAAATTGACAATAATGGCGTGCGCTTGTTAACTGTCGCCGTAATTCATGTTTAAGTAGGTAATTAATAATTAAAACAATGTTCGGCAAGCATAATTTACAAAGTATACAATCATATTCTTTGTTGTTAAATTATTATCACATATTATCACTGGTAAAATGTTATTTTTGGAATTTTTATACGAAAACACGTGTAGAATTTTGATTCGAAAAGAATTCTCTTCGTAATTGTAACACACGCATCGGATTGTTGCAAAGTTGTAATTAATGTAGCTGTGTAGCGCGCACCCATCCACCGGAGGGGTTATAATTTTCCACGTTAACAAGAATTGCTTTGCTGGTTGCTGGTTTAATGACGATGCCCCGAACGCGCAACGTAAACACACATATCTCTCTTGACTTATTTAATTATACACCACGCCGGTGTTTTTTATAAGCCTACGGCTGTACACAACGTTTTTTTCGTATTTTTAACCAATTTCGATACGAACTGTAGCGTCCCGGGTGAAATGTATGAATTTCAATGCAAATTGGTTAATAACATATCATTTGTTATTAGCTATCTTTTAATTAGTTTTAATTTGGTTGCATTTCCAATGCAGCGTCGCCGTATAATTACAATTACGTGTTTGATTACTGCTTCAGTATGTTTTTTTTTCTCTCTGTGTGAGTGTGAGGGGTTTTATCGCCCCGTATGCAAATACAAATTTTCCACTATTTTGTTTTCGCCGCCGACGATAATCCGACATGCGAGCCGACATGAAAAGAAAACCGGCAAACCGACTAACCAGCAACTAACGCTCCTCGCGCGTATTATAGAAAACGTAAAATAAAAATTAAATTCCCTGGCGTCGTGGCTGCTTGTAGTGGCGAACATGCCAACGCACGATTTATATTCGTTAAAATGCGAAATTCGTGCAAAGCGTCGTCCGCTCGGATCTCGCTCGTTAATCAAACATTTTTACTGCTTGTTAGAATATTTTCTATTATTCGTCATTCGCGTACGCGGCGGCGTTTAACGCCCGTCCACGTCGAGTTTGTTTTCCGCGAACGATGTCCAGAAAACTGGGGATTAGCATGTCGACTTTCTTTTGCTTTTTATTAGCAAGATTGTGCATAATATTAACTTCTACCACATGTTTCACATAACATAGGCCACCCACAATACACATAGAATATTTACACGTGAGGTAACCTCGTGTGAACACAGTGTATTGAACGATGATAATAGTTATTTTTATCAGTGTGGTGAACAAGTCAACCAACGTTGCAGCACGATGGCGTGCTATCGAGAATTGTTTAATACAATCAACAAACACTAAGTACATTAAGTGCAAACACACAAACAAACGGAGTTGGAGTTCGCAGAAAAACAAACAGCTAATTTTATGCGAAATTCAGAAGAAACCGAACAAAAAATCAGCGATAAACGCTTGAAAATTAACATTTATAATATCTTAACACGAATTTAAGTAAGTATTCGCAAGTTTTTCATGTGATTTGTTGCATTTTCTTATTTTGTAGCTTAAAAACTTTGAAACGCTGATAAAAACAAGTCGTAAAAATCATTTATATTCTTCAACTTGGTTAATCTGGATCTTAACCCTTTGCTTCAGGAGGAGTCGGGGCATTCGTAAGTACTTTGTAGCACCGGATAGTTTTGTGCGGTGCAAAAATAAATAACACACAGCGTCGCCGACTACAAGCGCTGCGGCCATAAAGAACTAGTTAAATTAATTTATGCAGCGAAACGTTCGGGAACGCTCGACGGATTATAAATCATGCATATCTTATCTCGCGCACCGACGGCGGCGACGACGACGACGAGCGCCGTGCTAAAAATTACTCGGTGCTCGCTGCCTCGACAAATCTGTGGATAGTAGCGCTATAGATATTTGATATAATAAAATCCGTATGTGTAAGTGTATGGACATAGAATCAAAGCTTCTTTGAATGTTTCCTTGCTGTATTTTTTGGGGTTATGTGCAAATAAGTTGCTTGACCGCTGCATGTCGTGTGCCAATTCATAAAATTTTCGCATGCGCGGAAACTGGCCGTCGTCATGCGATTTTTCGCAATCGCAGCGTGCTTGCGAAACGCGTCGAGAAATCAACGTTACAAGACAAATTAATGCTGCCGGGTTGAATTCAACAATATTCGCAAATTATCTGAATTATCAGAGTGTGGCGAAAGGTAAAGAAACGAAATCGATTCGATTTCGATTCCGATTCAAATCGGCGCTCGCACGCCGGACGATTACGTAAGTGTAGTGTGGTGCATTTTATGCGCGCGCACGCATCCGGTGCAAATAAACATTGCGTTATCGCGTAAGATTTCTGCCGGTGTACGTTTCTAGCCTCGCAAATCAATCTCGCCTGACTTATATTCAAATATAAAACTGCTGATGACGTTATGCAACCTAAAATGCACCACAACAACCACACCACGCATTTGTGCATTAGTGGAAGTACGATTAGTGTTATAATAAACCAACATCCGGTATAAATTAAACGTTATCAAACCGCGCTTTGAAATTTTAAACATTCGGTACTAAACATGCAATTTACTCGACGTGCTTGTAGTGTTTTATCTGAATTGTATGCAGAATTCATGTTTCGCGCTGCATTCGAGCGGTTTTTAAGGTTAATCAATATTGGGTAAGTTGTATTTTTATATTTTTAATGTAAATTCGCGTCCACAATGCATCCAATTGAATATTATAATAAACGTTCTCGCGTTGATGAGTCATAGACGCAAGTCGTGTCATCGCACAATGGAGAAAGCTGCTAATATTGTTAACATTACTTTACTCGTATGCCAACTTAAGTTAACTCAACTTAACACATGGTGTCACATATTCTGCGAACAACGAGCTCGTTTACTAACGCAATTCTATGCCTGTATACTTCGCAGACACATCAAACGTTGATTTATTGCCAGACACTTAGTATTTTTTTCTGCGAATCAATGGAAACAGCGTCGTTTTTTTGAATACAATGTCATGTCAGAAATACCTATTCAAATGGTTTTCGATTTTTATTTCATTTCACACACACACACCGAGGAGTGCGAATGCAAATGTTTCGTACTTTCGACATTGCGAAATGACGAAATTCGAAATTTTATTCGAATTGTTTGCGATGACAGCGCGTTTTGCAATTTCCGCGCATCCAAACAGCGATTTAATGGTTTTTAACGAAAAAATTATCCGAAAAATGACGTCAGATTTACTATAATCTGACACTCGTGCGGTGTTGCACGTTGCACACGTTATGCGCAGTTGCGGTTACATTAATTAGACATGCTAATAAGCGCAGGAATGCGCAGGGTGACGAAACACAACAACCCGACTCAAATTTCACGTCGTCCGCAGAACGACCGCAGGAACGAGCGAAGAATGCGTGCGTGAGATGCGTAACCGCGACGAAGAGCGACCGAAACCTAACCTCAAAGCGCACAACACATTTTCCAACCTCACTAAACGCAGATGGTGATTGTTTATAAACGTGCTTTAATTAGTATGATAACATGCGCGCGCGGCTTCCGTCTTGCGTTCGCCAACAATTTACTTCATTATTTTTGATCATTTCTGCAAAATCGCATGGCAATTTCCCCGCGATCATCATTGTTTATTGCAAGTGTGTGTTGCGCTTGTTATTTCGCGATGTGCTCTTTGCTTTGGCACGCCACTCGTGTGCTGCTTGATAGCTAATTTCGAATTAGCAATTCCGAGAAGCGTCGCACATCATCATATTAAAACGTCCACGAGTCCAAGTCCAAGTTCAGCATTCGCATGCGGCGCATTCTTGTGCGCGCCCATTCTTTACCGGTTTCGTGCGAGCGTTTCTAGAGCGGCGCACACATGAAAACACACTTATCACGGCAGCGCACAACATTGTTGCATTCTTTGGCGGTAGCGTCCTTAGTGGCATTTCGGTGTCATTTTTCCGTGTGCCGTTTGATTCATGCGCGTCGCGGACGAAATACATGCTGCATTTAGTCGGACGACATGGGACAAGTATTTTTGCGCGTATACCGAGTGTTTAGCGGTGGGTTTTTTGTGTTGTAAGTTGAAATTTATCGTTGACTTTGTTAAAATGTAATGTATAGCGTTAATGTGATGTGTATGATGCTCGTGGACGTTTTTCAATGTAATTAGAGCAATTTCGCTTTGAAAACTTGCTGTTTGTTTCAACGTTTCAATGTAGGATACACAGGGTGATCAAAATAATTAATTTTGTATCAATATGTTAAATTTTTAGTAAAAATTAATCGGATATTACTAATATTGATAAATTTTTTCAATAAATCATTAAATTAAATATTTTCTAACATAACCTCAAAGAAAAAAATAATTTTTTTCAATTTCTCAATTTTTTAATGGATTTTTAAAGTTTTTTCTTGATTATTCCATTATTCGGCACTGAGATTAATCTAAAAATATCAAAATTATTTGTATTTTTAAATTTGTGACGTTCATAACCTAATTTAAAAGAAATTTTTACTTTTATTTGCAATTAAATGCATTCCTGGAATTTTCTCGCTACACTCATATTGCTGTCTGTCCAGAAGAAGCAATTTATACTTGTTTATACTTATTACAACTAATTTCATAAAGGCGAGTCGCGAGCGTTGAAAAAAAAACCTCTCGCAACAACTCCAACTCGGCATCCACCGTGGATGGTGATATTAGCAATACTTGTTGCTCGTTACTCGCTCGCCGACTTGTCGTGTGTGCTTGTTTTAACATGAATTCTCAGCTTCGGGCCTTCGCATATAGAACTATATAAAACGTACGAGATTCGAGTGCGCAGAGTTGAAAGTTCCCATTCGTTACCGGCTTCAATTTCGTGAATCATTTAATACATTTTTATGGCGAAAATTCAGCGCCACGACGATTATCGTCATTAAGCTAATGGAGTTAATAGCGCGTTCTGTGTTTAACAACTACAAATTGTGTCTAATTGTTGAGGCCGTAATTGCGTTGGCCGTACGAGAGTTTCTGCCGGCGTATGATTCTTGGGTATTGATTAAGAAAAATGAGAAACGATAGAATACTGATAGAATTTTAACGAACTGTTAATTATTGTATTTGTTTCTCTGCCGTGTTTAAATGAAATTAATTGCTCAGATGTTTAATTAAAAGAAATCTTGCCTATGGATAATTATTTTTACATTTTTTTAATCTTTAGAAACAAAAATTCTGATTTTTTGGTAAAAATTTATTTAAAAATTAAATTTTTTAAAGTTTCAATCTCCCTTTTTGAAAATACGATTTACAGTTTAGTAATTTACATCAACGAATCAATCAGACTTAAGATTTATCTAGCTTAAGATTATTAGCTTTCGGTTTTTTGAAAAGAAAACGAAGAAAAAAGCCATCCACGACATGTGAATCGAATTCGGAACATGTGAATCCGTGCGTTCGGCTCGGATTAGAATCGTTATTAATGGTAATCCGCGAACGCGATCGTGCGCGCCGTTCCTTCGCCGCCTTTTCCATCTTCCGGACCAAGGAGGAAAACATCGGCGACGAGCGGTTGTAAGCGGGCGAGAAGTTCAGCGCGAACATCGTGACTCCGTTTGCTGAACCGGCATGATTCATGGAGCACGTATGAAATCGTACGGATCGTACGATTCCTGGCTTTATATTATGATGCTCATTTTTCGATGCGCGCTATCAACTCCGACGACTTAAGCGCGCACGATCGTCGGCGAGCGTCCATGCATTTGTAAGCAAATGGTGCGCGTTGAGTGCGAATTAGTATCGCAACGTGTGATCACTCGGACTCGCCGAGAAAACGTGTAAATTTGTAATGTTACACATCAACTCCGGTATAATTGCGTTCGAAATCGAACAGCGAACATAACCTTATCGAAAAAAACACAATTTTTGCTTTAACTTTTTCGTTTTTTGATATTTTTTCACGTTTTAACACAAATTCTGCTCTACAGGACGTAGATAAATCAAAAAATTAAGGATTTAATCATTTTTACATAAAAATTACACAAAATAAAACTTAAACTACCATCGCCATCTGTTGGTCATTATGTAAACTAAATGATTTTGCTCTTAGTGCATTGAAATACAATAATCAATTGATTCTATTGATGTGTAGTTTTTTCGAATTTAATTTAATTTAAGTGTTATCTTGAAGAGTTATCTTCAAGTAGAAAATAATGAACTACTGTGAGAAACTGTGGATGAATGCGCTGCATATGTGGGCCTTTCATTACGAGAACTTCTTGGGCGCGCATTTAATTTTAACGATTTTCAAGTGCGGCCGTTGTGCAACGCATTCGAAATCTTTAAAATAAATAAATAAAGTATCAAGAGCGCTCGCCGAACAAACAAACACAACGCACAACGCCAGCCGAAAAACTGGTACTCGAAAATCTTGAATATGCCCTCAGAGAATGGGCGACATGTTCTTTGCCATGTTGCCAATGAATGGAAAACCATGTGTTACTGTTTATTATAATAAGTGTCACAATAACAACACTAAATATTAAAAAAAAAACAAATTTTATTATTTTTAAAAATTTTGCAAACAAAAACAGCGACATCTAGTGTTGAAAAGTTTAGAATTAATTTTTGGTAATTTTAAGGTTATTTTTGTGTAGGTTCGAGTT